CACTATCTGCAGACATTTCCATATGACTGTGCTTGTCAATTTATTGCTGTGCCATATATCTTTTTAATATTCGGTATTCTTTTTTTGTCTTTTCCACCACAAATGTACTGCAATTGTGCTCTCGGTGTCGTGTCTTGAGACGAATCACGTGTTCCGGCAATTACACAAAGCAGTGCACCCCGTGTGTCGGAAAGTACCCAGTGGAAGAGATTGTTCACGTAGCTTCTCCTAAAAAAAATCCTTCCAACGACCACTTCATGCTTTACAAGTAGCACTTCCCCACACACTCTGATTTTCAGATTGTTTACCATATAACAGTAAAAAGTGATGTTTTTGTTCATTTTCATAAACACTCGGGCTTCAAAACCAAAATACATTGTATTTGTTGTCTGCAGCCAGTAGTAGGGTGGGCTGACGACCACCAAATCATTGCGTTTGAGAACTCAGTTTAATCACGAGCCGTTGTCTGGATTCAAACCCAGGATCTTACGGTGCCACCTTTGTGCTCTGACCTCCGAGTCATCCAGACCACCCTCACTCATGAACTGTTTGAAGACCAAGCCATTCATTGCACTCTGATGGACCTGATTCGTTAATGAGCAAGCTTGGACATTGCAAATATATTCCATTCACTACTGGGAACAAGTGAGTCAACATGATGGGGTTATACACACTCACACACAATACCCACCGAATTATAGATACAAAAACATTACATTAAGGATGCAGGTAATTTTCCAGGATGGTTTTACATATTGAATCATTCGCAAATAATATAAGTGCTTTATCCATTTGAAGACTATAGTATGGCCTGGTGGCTTTGGCACTTGCCAATGCGTTTAGAGATTGCTATCCCACCTCATGAATAATACATCTGTAGTAATAACCAGCGTGGCCTGCTGGAATCGAACCATGAACCTCTGCCACAAGCGGCGAAGGCTCGACTGCTGGGACATGTCATAGTACCCTGGTACTCTTCACAGTGCCGTTGTGCTCCATTCATCATAAAGAAAGAAGCAACATCAAATGCAATATTCGCAGTAAAGATTTCAGATCTGAATCATTAAATTAACGCCACTGGTCCAGTTCACGAAAATGTAAATTTGGAATATAACCAAAACAGTAAACGTACTTCATTGTATACCCATTAGGGTAAGAGGTCCATGTGCTTAGATTTGAGTACTGTACTTTATTGGCTATAATGTCATGATACGGTTGATTGGCGTCGAGATGAATGAATAAATTAATTGTATTTGCCAAGCCATGTAGACAAAGGCTGCTCTTGCGATTAATTTTCTTGCAATTTAATGGCGACAGGATGCCTAACGAAAGTAATAAACCAAGCAAAAAAAAAGGTGCATAATTGCTATTATTCATTACTCTGACATGTGACACCGTGATGAAAGTTATTTGATTTGCAATTGTAACGGTTGTGAGTACAAACTGATGATCGGAAGTAGACTTTGATGTATCTGGAGTTGTGTCAAGTTAATCGTGGGTGTCCCATGGATAAACTAGCCCCTTATGGTCGGCACTTTTGAATTTCCACCACTCACTGAATGTGACCACTCCATTGCTCATTTAGCTGGGGGGATTCTTTAATTGGTACATTTATATTCATGCCATCTTCATCGCGCAAGGCTATTATGAAAGCGCTGTGTGTCAAGCACAAATATAGTCTGCAATACCTTAACATTATGGGGTTGTATTTAATTTTCGATTTAAAGCTTTCGTGACTGCAGGGATTCATTATGGGGTTGTGGTGGATTAACCCAAATTGGTCATTTGCAAGAAATATTGCAAATGTAGACCACGATGTCAGCACACACACAAACCCACACTTTCTCGAATAACGTAATGGGATTTTTAACTCTCCTCTGAAGCACGTGGCTTCATATTTTTCGGTGAACACACTCGTGGGATTAACCACGGCGGTGGCTGGGCTCGAACCGCGGACTGCCTGCAACATGCGGCAAAATGCGCTGCCGCACGGCCACGTGGAGTGCCGTGACTTTTGACCGCACGGTTGTGAGGACACCACGGTGGCTGGGAGATGTTAAGTACCTCACCTGGTATACAGGAGGTCGTGAGTTCGACTCCAAACCCTGACGCCTGCTGCTGTATATTTTGGAGTTTGCATGTCTCTCTCCCAATGGAGGAGGCTCATGAAGGACGCTGCTCCTGGGCAGTTGGAGGCAGTCGCCCTCCAGCAACGACGGGAGGGCTCACAACAACGAGCGGAGCACCGGGCTGATAAACTACAGCAAGTTGGCACAGTAGGGGGTACAGCTGGTGCATCTACCAGTCATCTCAGTCAGCCAACCCATGGCACCTGGGTCTGTCCCGAGACCTGTCCACGAGCCTTCAACAGTTCACGTGGCCTCAAAGTGCACCTGGTCTGGCACAGGCGTAGTGGTGACGTCACCGTCACTTAGTGGCCAATGGCGGGTATTGATAATGGTGGCGCGGATTTTCTCCGGTTCCTCCGGTTTTTCCCTTCCACATTTAGAATCAATGTGCGTTTATAGTATTTGGCTGCTATACAATTCCACGTGATTAGCCACTTCATTGAGCTATCATATGTGGCCAGGTCACTTCTGGAAAACAACTACATAAGCTCAATGGGCATTACCTGGTAAAAGAAAGAAAATATATATTTTTGTTAAGAATGGACTGCAGTAACGCAGCTGACATTGAGCTGAGCCACCTGCCCGGAGTGAGGCCCTTTACACAGCGGCAGCGATGTCAAGGAGCGTCTCGTGGCTTCTCCAATTGGACGTGAAATGGTTGTAATTGGAATCAATTGCGTCGCCTGCGCTGCGATGAGAAAAAAAGTGCATTCGTTTTCATGCATTGCGCATTCACTTTCGCCGAGGCTTGGGCACAGCTGTCAATTATCAAGCGCCAGGTCTACGAGCGGTGCGGAAAATTCAATCGCTTCGGCGCGGGGGAGGAGGAGGGAGAGGGTTTGTCCTGGCTGGCAACAATCTCGTCTAACCCAAGCGGCCTTCTTCTAATATAACTCCTTCCCATTTCAATGTGGCCACAAGCCAAGGATATTGCCCGATCAGCAGGGAATTGATAGTGTCCCCTCAAATTAAACAGGCAGCCCCTTTGAGTGCCCCCTGTTTAATAAGCCCTTAATATGCAATTGCGCAGACTGTGAATTGTCCTTAAGAGTACATCGTTCATTAGAACGATGGCGAGTGTAATGTGAAGCTTTACGCTTGCTCCTCCAGATGCAATAACCATTTGTATCCTAGACTCTGAGGAAAAATAATGCCATTAGGTTGATATCTTTTGTGGTAAGTTTTTTCATCAGAAAGAAATTGTCCTTTTGGGAAGCAGTGGTGCAGTGATTAAAGCACTGCCCTCTGAACCCGGTGATACAAGTTATGTTCCACGCCTACTGCTAAGGTCGAACTCTCCAGCAGAGAGAAGTATGGTAAAACTTTGTCCATAACTAACATGTTGGGTTGCCACCTGTCCTGTTTTTCCCAGGATCTTCCTATTTTTTTATGTAGCTATCTTGTGAAAGTCTGTCAATATTCCCAGAACACTAAAAGTCTTGGATAATTTTTCATCACTTGTGTAATAACGGTATTGTAACATTATCGTCTCCACTTCATACGTCCCAGTTTTTTTGTTCCACTTCAAAGATGAAGTCCTGCATGGGCAGGCGTTCATCAGCATTGCATTGACAAAACTGCTGTAAATTATACGCACGTTGATGTATTCATTAAATTATCTTATGTCATTGTTTTTAAATGACCAGATGGGCTGGTGCTGATGTTGGATAATTTGTTCCGCGGCTTCTTGACACTCTTATGCCTCTCGCTGTGCGTTTAATACAGCGCAGCTGAGCAGTGACAGGGTGGCCCCATTCGTTATGAGAGGGAAGACTGGGGAATGAGGTCATTGCTCAGACCTAACCTTTTTGCCCAGTGCACAACTCCCAGGACAGTAAATAAAGTATAAGATGCAGGGCTTCGCTTGGCAATACATATGGTTCGGACAAAGATACGTGCAATTTACTTTTATTGCTAAGACGACCTGGTTATGAAAAACACTGTAGTGATAAGTTGACTGGGGGATGCTGTGGTAAGCGTTCCTGACTGTCATTCTGAAGGTTGCAGGGTTGTAGCCTGCTCTGGGGTCATCATCCTTCTGATGATTACATAATACATGCAACCCTCGATATACAGAACAGCGACGTTCATGATAGGATTCGAATATCGAACCCTATCTTCCCGTTGTCTTCCATTTTATAATTCGAGATGCATTCCTATGGAATAAAAAAAAAACAGACCAAAGATGGAGTAAAATCTCACTTAAGAATACATCAAACCTTTTTTAAACGTGAAGTTAATTTTCTAACTTTAAAGTTACGTGACAGAGAAATTATGTATATTGAGTTGCTGTATAAGGAGTGATGACTATCAGATCACATTGGTAGGCATGGTTGTTCCATGTCTGGACTGGATCTCCTATAGGAATGTGAAATATCGACCATTGGCTCAGTGTTATAAACAAGAGATGAGAACTGTCAAATGTTTATTTTATTTGAATGCCACTCGAACTATTTAGTTTTTACTTGGTATTATCCATATTTAGAATAGCCCAGTAGATGAGTATGAGTACGGGGAACTTTATATTTGTCCTACAGTACTTGCCATTAGAATTGGACTATTCGATTAATTAAGTACTGTAATCGATTACTCCATGGTTTATTTGTTCGATTGCTCGACTAATCCCCAGATATAGTTGGGGGAAAAAAAAGTCTTGCCCTTCTTCTTCAGACATGTGCCACTGGACGAGAGGTTTACGATGGACCTTGACCAATCGACCACGAAACAAATGTAATTGTTTGCAACGTTTCAGTTGATGACTCGGCTCAAATCGGCCCCTACCCATCGTCTAACCGTTCGCTTGTTTTTTTATCTCGCTCGTTGCGCGTGCGTGCGTGCGTGTGCGCCTGAACGCCGGGAACGTGGGAGCAGATCCCGCAGATCAGCTACGCGTCGGCGGCCCCGGAGCTGAGCGACTCGACGCGCTACGACTTCTTCTCGCGCGTCGTGCCGGCCGACACGGCCCAGGCGCGCGCGCTGCTCGACGTGGCGCGCTCCCTGCACTGGAGCTTCGTCTCGACGCTCGCCTCCGAGGGCAGCTACGGCGAGAGCTCCGCCGAAGCCTTCGTCCAAGCCGCCAAGGAGAACGGTACGCTCGCCGCCGCCGTCTGACGCTCGCTGCCGTCTGACGCTCGCGGTTCGCCACCTGACGCTTGAGCTGCCGCCGCCTTTGTCCGTGGTGGCAACCGCGACCCCGCGGTGGCGAGGCGTTAACTCCCTCGCCTGCCATAAGAGAGGTTCATAATCAACGTTTTTGGGTTTAGATCGCGTTATTTATAAATGTGTCGTAACCCTCCACCACCCGACATGGCCAATCAGTAAAAAAGTATCACGTTGACAATTCGCCATCCAGCCCGATGATGCTGGATGCAATTACCAGCGAAACATCGTACTACTCAAATTGTAAATGTTGTGGTTTCACGCTTCAACACACCGGTGAGCTAAAGCAGTGAACTATTTGTCTTTTGTCAACGTGACACTTTTTTACTGATTGGCCGTGTCGGGTGGTGGAGGGTTACGACACATTTATAAATAACGCGATCTAAACCCAAAAACGTTGATTATGAATAATATTGGTCGCGAAAGCCTACGTGTTAAATAAAAGCGGTTGTTGGGTTATATCGCGTACATATAAATGTGCCGTTAAACCCGCCACCGCCCGACAAAGCCAATTGGTGAGGTTTGTCACCTGAACCAAATGTGCCAATTCGTTACTAGTTCAGCACACCGCTGTGTTGGAGAGTAAACCCACAATATTTACAATTCGTGTACGACGTTTCGGCAGTAATTACAGTTAGCATTATCAGGTGGACAGCCAGAGTTGTGGAGAAATCCTCCTCCCTCGCCTGGATTGCAGGAGGTCGGGGGTTCAATCCCGATTCTCACGTTTGTATATTTGGAGTTCGTGTGTTCTCCGTGTGATTGCGTGGATTTTTATCTGGGTCCTCTGGGTTTTTCCTACATATTTGTTGCGGAAAGTCAACGATCACTGTCTTATAGATGCACTTGTCCCCTAATATATGCAGGTGGAATTCCAACCACAAGCTCAGGGCTAATAGTAGGAGGATGAGACCATTCCATTGAGTAGGACTTTATAACGAACTTTAGTCAAATGTAAGTGTAGATTATAAATAAAATAATAAAATGAAAATAACTAAATTAAATCGTGATTTAATTTAGTTATTTTCATTTAATTATTATTATTTTCATTTCATTTTTTATTTTTCATCTACGTGATTTTACCGAAATAACCAAAGAGTATGGATCCTTGCAGTCACGAAAACTTCAAATCTAGAATTAAATGTAAGTTTTTCAATATAGCTATTGATACTTTATCCATCTCGTCACAGGTTAAATACACCCACCAAATGAGCCTCAGCTGATTATATAGCCACTCGTTATTTCCATATATGATCAGTGTGCACCTGCTGTGTTTACATAATTTAATCACTCTGCTGTGTCTATCAAGAGGGTTAAAGTTGGGCCGTGCATCTGCTCTTCCTGTGCATTTTTGTCCTTCCTTTGAGTGAATAAAATAATTAATTCATTAATTCCATAATCAACCATGTCCTTATAATTACATGCTTCCCACCCAGCCCACATGATGATGGGACTGCAGATGATAATGATATTGATGTCACAAATAATGTTGCATGCTGTGGATGAGTTACAGATGAACCAAAAAATGGATATCGTATATTAGAATTTTTATTCTCATTTTTGGATTCATAAACGTTGAAAATCTTTAATTGCTAATTCATTCGTTTAATTAATTTCAAGACTGTAATAACAAACATTAACAAATAGATTTTTTCACGTAAGATACCACCAGTAAAAATGTAACTTTCATGTAAAACATTTTTGATAACTTAAAATTAAACTATATATATTGTTCTACCGGGTAAAAAACATTGAGAAGTGACGTGACCATAAATGATAGCTTAACCAAGTGGCTTATGACGTGGAAATTTATAGCAAGCAAATACTTCAAACACATGTTTCTAAACTTAGTACAAAATGACATAAAATATCGGAAAAAATACATCATGTGACGGCACTCATTGTGCGACAACCACAGAAGTGATGGCATGGAAGTGACATAACCTCCTCTTATGCCACATTTTTGGATCAACCTTGAACGATTTTTTCCAGACTATCCAGAATTCTGTATCTAGGTGCGAATTTCCATATGTAATATTACTCTGAAATACAAGAATACATTCCTACTACGTGCATATGTTTTTGGTTCTTAATTCCATTGAGAAAACTACCCCATATAAAGACAAATGTAAGCAATCTAGCAGAGTTATGGAAATGTGGTGCCCAAAGTAATTCGTTCATTTTAATCTTGTTTTGCGTGTCATAAATTCTGATAAATTACTCTTGCAGGTAATGGGACGTCACATTTAAGCCCGCTGTTACAACACCTCCACAATTCTTTGCGAGGATTAAATAATCACTGCCTTAGTTTGTCTTCATGTATACATATTTATTTTGCTTAATGTACAGCATAACATGTTGGTGGCAGTGGTGGCTCAGTGGTCACCACACTGCTGCTATGAACCTGGCAGCCTGAATTAATTTCTCGGTCATTGTTAGCATCCGAGCAGAGTGATATCTAAATAAGTTCTACCCTCCCTACACCAATCTGCCACTGACCAGCATGGCGAAGTATGGTCAAACATAGCATAGCATATTGAGGCCTTCAGCACTGGATTGGCAACTGGTCGTACATCACGATTATCATTGACGTGTTTTAATGATCATGGGTGCTCATTCATGTCTTTGTGAGGGTGCGAACGTGTAAGTAATGTTTACCCTAATCTTACAGCCAGTCTTCCGGAGCTATTTAGAATCACAACCACCGCATGGTGTACAAAATGTTGCTGCTGTTCTTGTTCGGAAAAAAACGTAGAATCTGTCCACGCATTGCAAACCAGGTCACATGTGCAGCAATCGAACATTATAGCGTTGCTTTGGCTGCAGAGCCACACTTAATTTACCAAACTATTAAATGATACACTTTACAAAGTGTTAATTATGCTCCGTCCCAATTAATAACACTTTTAATGAGACGCTATAATGTTACAGTATCTAGTTAATTACACTGATAATTACCATAGATGTTGGAAATATCCCTATATGGTAATTCGTATGGTGCAAAAAAGCTAAATATGCTAATTATTAATATTTCAAGAATGTATTCCACAGCTGATGTCAAATGTTAACATGCACAGCAGAGACTTCTTTGGTCCACGGTTCGTCGTGTCTCCGGGTGTCCCTGTGGACACTTATTAATACGCTCTGCCAATGCAGTCTCACGTGTGTTTTGCCCTTGATCAAGTCACCTGCAATGTACGAGATTTTGTCAGATCTCGAAAGCTAAGCAGTATTGAGCCTGGATCCTGCTTGGGTGGGTTATCGCCACACACACACACAGCTTGTCATAGCACTTTGCGAGGCTATGTGGTGGGCAGGAGAGCGCATTGCAGCAAAATCCATGGTTGTATTGTACGTCTAAGCTCCACGCCTCAGCAACCTACACTGACCAGTATGGTGAAGTATGGTCAAATAAACCCCACCACCCGCATGGTATGGGGAGGCCCTCATCCAGTACTAGACTGATAAAAAAGGCCTGTACATGCATTACATGTACATACTATAATAATATATGTATGTTACTTGTGCTGACTTGGGCCTCCTCTAGGTTTACTCAGCCTAAAATGATCACTTGACTCTATGTTGTCAGCATCGGCACTGGGGAGACAAAGGTGGCAATGTGTCTGCAGTCCAGGCTAGCTCAGCGTCGCGCGTTCCACGCCTGTCTTAATAAATGCTCAACCAACAGCGCTTCTTAACCCTGTCATGCTAAACAGGGAGCCCGTCTCTCGGCATGCGTGTAAGATATATTAGCATATGCTTGCATGTGTGTGTGTGTCTTACAGGTAACGACAGGCAGTAAATGTGCTTCTTTAGAACAAGACACAATTTAGTGCGATACACTTAGAATCCAGTGGCCCGCTACAGATTTAATATCACCCCTCACACTGCTCCGCCGACGCTGCCAGAATGCATACGCGTGAAAATCATACATTGATTGCCGTGCGATCCCCTCAAATTCCACTCCACCAGGTACACGGGGCAGTTCTCCTTCGCTGCAAACACCAAAATCGGATCCGGTCTCCCATGCACCACTGCGTCTGCGGGCCTACAATCTGCATGGCTACACTGGAGGCCACTTCCTCGGGATTTAATCATTCCGCTGGAATGCCATTGTTTATAACGGCCACCGCCGACTGAGCATCAGGGTCCCGGCTGTTTAACGGCGTGACCTTGCGATTGAGGCGCTCGCACGCGGGCTCGTTTTTGGGTCCCTTTGGGGAAGATTTGTGGCCGCGCGCGTAATTGCAAGTCGTAAGCAGACGAGGATTTACGAAAGTCGGATTACGTTTAGCGACAGCGGCGACGTTGCCCGCCGGTTATTGCGCCGCGCGAGCCAAGGCAAAGTGTCCGGGACGCGAGAGAAGGCGACGTTCAATATTTGATGCGATGGCAGGGAGTTGCTCGGTGGAGGCGGCTGCGGCCCCTTCGTTTGAGCTCTGCCGGTTCGTGGCCCAATTAAGAAGCCCTCTGGCATTGTGCGATGGCCACAGTGTGTGTGTGTGTGTGTGCACCCTGTTCTTCAGTGGGTGCAGTGAGCTCGTTATTTAATCTGAGCGGAGACGTTCAGGTTCCGACGACAATGTCGGCGCCAGCCGTGCGATTGGACAGCGGCGGTGGAGCCACCCGCTTCCTTGCCGGGATCTCGAGTATGGGACGAGGCTTCATTGTGTGAACAGGCACAATGGGGCTTAACGCGCACAAATCAGAGGATTCAACACGGACTGTGTTAGACGGAGGCCAAAGTGTCAGGCAAAGTACTTCCAGAAATGAACTTTCTAAAGAAAAGACCTTTGTCCAAAATGTTGGTGTATTTTTATATATTGTAAAGCAGCGTTAAGGTTGATGGTGGTGAATTGTTCTTCTTAAATTTCATTTGTGCTTCTATACCTACGGGAACTTTTTTGCCAGTATCAAAAAACGATTCTC